TGGAGTCTGCCCTCGCATTGGCAAACCGCCACTGCAGATTACGGTTATACAGAAGCCTCAATAAGTGGGCATCCATAACGCGATCCTCCCCAATTTTCCCCCTCCTAATATCAGCAGAGAAACAAAGAATTGAAGGCAAGCTGCGGTTATAAGCATTCATTTGTTCAGAAACTCCATTTCTCACTCGAGAAGGACTAGAAAGTGCCCTAGCTTGAGTTGATGTAGCGGTTGCCCAAAGCTTACTTGGTGAAGCAGGACGAGTAGCACCCCTTATTGGAGAAGCCATACCACGAGGAGATGATGCCTGACTATCACTAGAGAACCGTTTCGATTGACTGAACTTTGATGACACACTACTGGGTCTCGAACTCGGGCTAGAGCATCGAGGTGAGCCAGGATCCTGCAACCGCCTTAACCGGCTATTAGTCTCTTGCCAGAATTTAGCAGAAGCCATAATACTACGCTGCAAGCTCCTCGTTTTAGAAACTTCACCATTGACACCAGAACCACATTCCTGCGCACCATTAGTGCTACCAGATGAAACACTATCAGTATCAGATGCAGTGAAGTCACACGAACCCAATCGTGAACGTGTGCTTGGTCTTGCCTTGCTCTCATCTCTCATTTCCAAAATTCCATCACCTCCTCCCAAATCTAAACGCAATCTCCCATCAACAGAAACCCTAGAACTACCATCAATCAGAGAATGCTGCAACATTGACCCAGATCCAAGCTTCCCCCTATCATCACTTCTAGAAAGCGAATTTGGCACAGATTCGGAAATTCCCCTCCGGGAAGCGCCAGGCCAGAGTTGCTGGTCCACCGGCTTAGAGTTCTCCCTCTGATCTCGAACCGGCGTCGATCTCCGCCGCTCCGGAGTAGATTTCCGGTGAGAAACCGGCGTGGTAGTCTCCTTCTTCTTGCTAATCGGAAGCGAAAACGCCTCCCCTTGAAAAGAAACAGACAAACTCCTGGAGGAAGTGATAAGCATCTTGCTCGCCGCCGACATTTCGGTGGTACCAGTGACATGAGCTACCGACCGCCGACGACGGTCTACCGATTGTGACCGTTTGGGTAACAAGGAAGGCGTCTTAATCAAATTAGAAGCGGAAGGGGAAGGATATCGCTTACTCGTCTTCAATACTGC